ATGAGAAATCTCATATTCTTGTGGACAGGACAGTAGGCTATGAGGCAGGAGATTTTGGTTCTGTCCTATGCTCTGCCATGGAATTTTTGGGCAAGTCACAGCTTCTTTCTGTGCCTCTTTCTCCTCCCACCTTTTGTTTGTCTTGTGTGTTTATAACGTGGGCTCTTTGAGGCTGTCCATTGACTGTGTGCATATACAGAGCCTAGCACCATGGGAGCCTGGTCTTATTAATGGTTCACAAAACTGTTGGAAAGGTAAAACAAATGGGGTTCCGCATGGGTCTGTTTTGGGACCGGCTTTGTTCAATATCTTCATCAACGATTTAGATATTGGCATAGAAAGTACGCTTATTAAGTTTGCAGATGATACCAGGCTGGGAGGGGTTGCGACTGCTCTGGAGGATAGGGTCATAATTCAAAATGATCTGGACAAATTGGAGAAATGGTCTGAGGTAAACAGGATAGAGTTGAATAAAGACAAATGCAAAGTGCTCCCCTTAGGAAGGAGAAAAAAGGTAGTGTAATAGAATTCTATATTAATATTACTTTACCGCCTTTCTACCATGCTACGCTTGAAGTTTAATAAAGACAAATGGCAAAAGACCGCCTTGGCTTAACCACGAGATCTTGCATGATCTAAAAATAAAAAGGAGTCATATAAAAAATGGAAAGTAGGACAAATTACAAAGGATAAATACAGGCAAACAACACAGGAATGCAGGGCAAGATCAGAAAGGCAAAGGCACAAAATGAGCTTAAACTAGCTACGGGAATAAAGGAAAACAAGGGGTATGTCTACACTACCCCGCTAGTTCGAACTAGCGGGGTAGTGTAGACATACCCTGGGGGACAGTCATATCAGGGTACAAAATATATCAGAAGAACAAAACAGGTTGTGCTTTTGAAAAGAAAAGTTGTTCATCTTGGCCTCTGACTATAGATGATAGCTGTTTTCAGGTATCTAAAAGGGTGTCATGAGGAGAGAGAAAAGTTGTTCATCTTGGCCTCTGACTATAGAACAAGCAGCAGTGGGCTTAAACTGCAGCAAGGGAGGTTTAGGTTGGACATTAGGAAAAAGTTCCTGTCAGGGTAGTTAAACACTGGAATAAATTGCCCAGGGAGGATGTGGAATCCCCATCTCTGAAGATATTTAAGAATAGGTTAGATAAATGTCTGTCAGGGATGGTCTAGACAGTATTTGGTCCTGCCATGAGGGCAGGGGACTGGACTCGATGACCTCTCGAGGTCCCTTCCTGTCCTAGTATTCTATGATTCTATGATTATGTAAGACCCCCAAATGTTATGGTAATATGTGGATTGCAGGGAATAGTAAAAAGAAATTCCTCAAGCCACTGCAA